ACACACTTTACAAAGAACCACACACACACACACACACACACACTCATACACCAGTGTACGCAGATACTGGGGGCCAGGTGGGTTAAGTGTCTTGCCCCAGGACACAACAACAATCTTCACCTGTGGTCAGCAAATCAGAGCAATGTAGAAATGTTTATGCAGAGTGCAGGATTTAAACCACCAACCTTTGGATCAGTGTGTGTGTGTTATGTGTGTGTCATGTGTGTGTGTCATGTTTGTCTTAAAAAGGCTTAAAAGAATTAAAAAACTTAAAAACACTAGGGTGGTCTTTTTTTTATTATTTTTTTCTAGATTAGAACCCTGCATTTGGTTCCATACCTGGCCAAAATATTTAAGTAATTTTTTAAGTAATTACTTTCTAAGTCATTTTTATGCAAGTTTCAGTTTGTGTTTGCAGAATAAAATGACAAATTATTCAAGTAAGCTTTATTTATTTGGTTCTGTGTTATAGAATAGGCCCTATAGGGTAATTTATAGGGCAAAAGTGTCTTGAGCTTCTCTAAATATTCATTAATTTGCATTAAATTTGGACTCAAATATTTTGACCAGATATGGAACCAAATGTAGGGTTCTAATCTAGAGAATCTAAAAAGATTTTCTTTTGGTTCACTTTACTGATCAGCATTGTTTTTTTCTGTTGAGGAGGATGGAGGAGTGTGTGTGTGTGTGTGTGTGTGTCGTGGGTGTGTGTGTGTGTGTGTGTGTGTGTATAAAAGTGTTTATATGTTGTGTTTATGAGTATCACGTCTGTTCACTTTTGGGCTTCAGGATCCTTCACTGAAAATATCTGGAGTTTTGTCGACTTCTGTGTTCACTGTTGTGTTGTGGTTGTTTTGTTGCTGCACACACCTGACCTGGACTCACCCTGTGTGTGTCTGTGTGTGTGTGTGTGTGTGTGTGTGTGTGTGTGTGTGTGTGTGTGTGTGTGTGTGTGTGTGTGTGTGTGTGTCACGTTGTGTTTGGTTGGACTCTCCCTGTGTGTGAGGTTTTGTTTGGGGTGAGAGACACGCCCATGGGAACAAAAACTCTGCCAATTTATCAAATCTAATATCACAGAAAGGCAAGAGAGAAAAGAGGGAGTGAGGGAGAGAGAGAGGGAGAAAAGAGGGAGAGAAGGAGAGAAAAAGGGAGGGAGAGAGAGCGAAAGAGAGAGATAGAGACAAAGAGAGGGAGGGAAAGAGGGGAAAGTGGGGAAAAGAGAAAGAGAAAGTGAGGGAGCAAGAGAGAAAGTGAGAGAGACAGAAAGAGAAAGTGAAGGAGACAGAAAGAGAGAGAAAGAGAAAGTAAGGAGAGAGAGAGAAAGTGAGGGAAAGAGAAAGAGAGAGAGAGAAAGAGAGAGAAACTAAGAGAGAGAGAGAGAGAAAGTAAGGGAGAGAGAGGGAGGGCAAAGCACTCTCTACTAAGATACAAAATAATATAAAAGAAAAAGAAGAAAAGGGCAGAGAAAAGAGGAAAAGGAAAAAGAGAGAGAAGAAGAGAGATAATCAACTGAACCAAATTAAAAGAATAAAACAGAAAAAGAAAAGACGAGACTAGAGGAGAGGGAGAGAGAAACAGAGAGAAGCAGGAGAGGATAAAATGATGACTAAGTTATATAAATAATAGGAGGATGAGAGGAGAGGTGGAGGGAAAGAGGGAGAGAGAGGTGAGAGACAAAGATGAAGAGAGTGAGAAGGGGGAGAGAGGAAGAGAGCGATGGGAAATGAGGGTAAGAGAAGAAGAGGAAGAAAAAAAGAGGGAAGAAAAGGAGGAGAGGAAGCGAGAGAGAGAGAGAGAGAGAGAGAGAGAGAGGGAGGGAGGGGTGGAGACGTCGGTGTACTCAGACATGTCGAATCAGGCTAACAACACAACACACGGGATTTTATGAACCACCAGAAATGAGCTACACTGAGAAAAATGTGTAAAGAGAGCAGCGACACAGGGAGAACACGCACGCTCCACTCAAGGGTCAGGAGTCGAACCCACAACCTCCACCTGACACGACGACACAGGCTAACCACTCTGCCACCGTCCAAACACTGGCTGCTACAAAAAACTGCAAATCTGTCATCAAAAAAGAAACGACTATCTTAGCTTGAGAACTACCACTTCATGACATCACGACTTGGACAACTAGACAGACTAATAATAAAGAGTTAGTCAACCATGTGAGTGAAACAAAACACAACTCCAGGTGTGTTTTTGAAGAGGAAACAGCATTAGAACATGATTTAAAGCTCACAAGAGTCAGTTTTGTGTAATGTAGGAGCTTTAAAACTGAGAAAACTAAAAAATGAACGCAAAAATCTCACATACTTCTTAAAATAAATATAAGTTTACCGTATTTTTTGGACTATAAGTAGCACTTTTTTTCATGGTTTGGGTGTTTCCTGAGACTTATACTCCAGTGCGACTGACAGCCACGAGACGCTCTAGTCTTGTGTATCAGTTTTCTGCACGTCTCTTGTAGAAAAAGCCGCTGGCCTGCTGCAAATAGTGAAATATTCAGTCGAAAACGGTAATCGAGCGGCAGAAAGAAAGTTTGGAGTGAGTGAGAAACTGCAACTTTCCTGGAAGTCATTGGATGGATCGACAAAGCCTGGATTTCAGTGACAACTGAAGTTGCGCGGAGTTGTTCAGAAGTGACACCGAGGATGAAGAATTGAATGGATTTAGTGATTTGGAGTGAGATGGAGAGTTTGGTAAACTTTTTCTGTTCTGTTGTTTATGTTATAGTTTATCTGAAGAACTGTTCATATGTGACGTTAACAGTCTGTTGTTTGTTCTATTGGCCTGTCGACAAACTGAATTTTCTCCTCGCCATGGATTCTACCTGGACGACTGAGGGATTCTTCACACATGTTTGTTCTATTGTTCTTACTAGAACTTGACTTTCAAGATGAATTGTTGGTTCCTAGTCCCTGATTTTATAAAATTAATTCCCCCCATAAAGTGCGACTTATAGTCTGGTGCGATTTATAGTCCAAAAAATACAGTACGCACAAGATTAAGATTAACCAACATAAAGTGCAAAATTCCATACAAGAGGAAAAATTATAGTGCTTGTGTGTGTTCTGTGACATTTTGGACATTTTAAATCACAATATTTATCTAAAATGACTTGAAAATGTGTTGATTTCCGTGTTAGAAAACTGTGGTGTCAAGTGGGAGCTGACACCACCATAAACGTCATGACAACAAAGCACCGCATGCTGTGGGCTCCTCCGATGGATAACTGCACATCACACTAGAGCAGGGTGTTTTGTTGTTTGTTTGTTGTTTTTTTTTACATTTTTTTAACATTTGGACCAAAAGACCATTTGCCCAATCCTACGTGAGTCACCGATTAAGAATATAAAAGTGGAGAACAAGTCAGTACAGAGCTGCTGAGGCAAAATGTGTCTTGAAAAAAGTGATTAAAGACGACTCAAACATGCACGAATCTCTCCAGATACTGGCCTGACAATGCAGTCCTAATCTCTAAATAGTGATTAGACATTTTCTGAATGTGTAATATACAAGGAACTGGAGGGATGGCACTGTCAGGCAATCCAAATACAACTCCAGAGGGTCCATGAGAAGAAAATACTACATACAATGAGAAGAAAATACTATATTACCTCCAAAACAAACATAATATACAGTGCTAAAGTTTGACTTAAAAGTCCAAAAGTACAACACATTTTCAATGAATACATTTTATAAAATGAAAATGAAAGCAAATGTTTAAAGGTGCATTGTGTAACTTGTTTGGAGATGTCTTTGCCTTGTCTAAGAATGTTCCACAGTTTTCATGAAACTCATTCATCTCCATGGAGACGAGCCGGTGACACACACTGAAATAAATGTTACACAAATAAGTTAAAGAACTTATCTGTGCTAGACAGAGGCATTTAATGTCATACTGTGGAACATTCTTGGAAAATGATAACAAATAGTATCACCATGGCGACGAGAAGGTGGACAGAATAGTTCCACAGTGCATTGCGGAACTGATTGGAGATGTCTTTGCATTGTCAAAAAATGTTCCACTATTTTCATTAAACTCATCCATCACCATGGAGATGACCACATCGAAATAAATGTTACACAGATAAGTTAAATGCCATACTGTGGAACATTCTTGAAAAATGAACAGTATCTCCATGGAGACGAGAAGGTGACCAGAAAAGTTCCACAGTTCATAGTATAATTTGTTTGATGTTATTACCTTGTCTAAAAATGTTCCACAGTTTTCATTAAACTTATCCGTCGCCATGGAGACAAGCTGTTGACAAACACAATGAAATAAATGGTGGACAGGTGACTTAAATGTCATAGTGTGGAACATTCTTGGAAAATATATAATAATAGTATCACCATGGAGACGATAAAGTAACCAGAAAAGTTCCACATTGTTCCACAGTGCTTTGTATAATTTGTTTGGAGATGTTATTGTCTTGTCTAAGAACGTTCCACAATTGTCATTAAACTCATCCATCACCATGGAGACGAGTCGGTGGCGCACACAATGAAATAAATGTTATGCAGATGTCATACTGTGGAACATTCTTGGAAAATGTTAAAAAATAGTATCACCATGGAGACGAGAAGGTGGACAGAAAAGTTCCACAGTGCGCTGCAGAACTTTTTGGAGATGTTACTGCCTTGTCTAAAAATGTTCCACAACTTGACATTAAACTCATCCATCGCCAAGCTAAACAGATAAATTAAATACTATACTGTGGAACATTCTTGGAAAATATAAAAAAATAAAATAAAATAGTATCACCATGGAGACGAGAAGGTGACCAGAAAAGTTGCATCTTTGTGTTATTATCAGCTCTCATTTTCACATTAGTTTCTCGCTTTTATAACTTTGAATAGTCATTTGCAGATCAGTAACACGTCTCCACGGAAACGAGAAGGTGGCCAGAAAAGTTCCACACTGCACCTTTAATACTGTGGCTTTAGCATTAGCTCCGTTAGCTCTTCTTCCTGTCACTTGCATCAAAACTCACCTCAGCTTCAGATTCTCCATGAACTGCTCCATCGTCACTTCATCCAACAAAATAAAGTCGGATTTCCCAAACTCCAAACTCTCCAACTCTGCCATCTTGTACTACCTAATCCTACGGATACTTCTACTTGCGCTACTGTACTACTAATACTTATACTCGTGTACTTTAAGCGGTACACAGAAGAGGAAGGAGGCTGGCAGGAGCAGAAGTATTCACAGCTGGCGGGGGTGAGGGGGCGTGGCTTTTGGGCTTTGTGGGCGGGGTTTGGGACTTGGCTGGGGGGGCGGGGCGATTTTAGGGATGTGGTTTTACAGGCTGCTGCAAGTCACCTGTCAATCAAAATGTACTCACAGGGGAGGAGGAGGAGGAGGGAGGGAGGGAAAGAGGTTAGAGAAGAGAAAGACAAACTGAGACTTCGCGACTGATGTCATGAAAGTTTTGATGATTCTCTGATTTTTTGTTCAAAACTGAGACTGTCCTGAGGAAATAGGAATGTGTGCTCGCCCTGTTCTGGTGTTTCTGTTTCACTATTTTGTCCCTAAATCAAGATACAAACACTAATAACAGACCAATCAGGTGCCTTCTTTCCCCGAGGTCACTCCCACTAGGTTTGATTGACAGCGTTGCTAATCGAACGCTCCCTCCTAAACCAGCAGCGTGGACGGGAATGGCCATTACCTTCAACAGCCTCGCTCCTGATTGGCTCTTTGGTTGCTATGGCACTAGCAGTCAGATTTCCAAATATGGAGCTTGGCTTCGGATTCGCACCTGTAACTGCTACAGCCTGGATGAGCTTCATTTGACTGGAGCAGTTCGCCATGGGTGATGTCACATTCACTTAGGCTACGTTCAGACTGCAGCCTGAAGTGACCCAAATCCGATTTTTTGGCCCCTATGTTCCTGTATCTGATCTTTTAATGACAGTCTGAACAACACAGATCTGAATTTTTCAAATGTGACCCAGGACACTTGGATATGTGCTCCTGAAACCGATACATATCTGATCTTTTGACATGTGACTTTAGTCTGAACGGCCAAAGTGCATTCATCCACCTACACGTTATCAACAAGACACAAACGTCACTATTCTGCGCTGAAGTAGACGAAAATTGTTAATGAACTCTGTGTCACTGAAGCGAAGCACATCTCCACTCACCACTCTTGGCTACATCTCCACATCCACACGTTCCGTTTAAGGACGTCGCTGCCGCTGCCCCACAAAACACCACTACCAAAAACCTCATCCTTCTCCTTCTCAATTTCCTCCTTAAAACAAGTAAGTTGTTCATGTTCTGGCTCCGGTACGAGAGGAACTTTAAAATCTCCAGGTGCTCAATGCTGCGTCCATGTTTGGACAACTTCTGTAAACACAGAGACGCTCACTGAGGTTGATGTCGTCGTGTCTCCAGTGCACATGCGGGACACTTTCAGGCTTTTTAATGTTCACACTGGAGTCACATACAAGTCACATTTGATTGGAAATGTGAACGACCTCGCAAAAACATCGGACTTCACAAAAAAATCCGAATTGAGCATTGAATGCCTGAATGACACATCGAATTTCTCCAGTGTTCGCAATCCTTCCCTATCAACACAACTTTGAGCATATTTGATTTACAGAAATGAAATTTAAAACCACATTTGCATAAACTGAGCACTCAAAAAAACAGCTCGCTATTTTCGGACTAAAGACACGACTCAGTGGAATATGAGTGTTCTTTCTGTGACAGAGGGGTGTTCTGCTGATGGTGAGTCTGTTCTGTGTTTCTGTCGTGTTGGAGATGGTTCATGTTAAACCTTTCAGAGATTATACGTCTGCAGGTCGTACACACAGACACACGTTTATATGAATGGACATATGTTCTAGCCTTTTGGCGTTTTGGCAGTGAATTACTTCGCGGCACACAGACCTATATCAGAGTATCAGTGTTTTCAGGCGTCCACACAGTGTCGGATCAGATCTGTACGAACATGAATTCGTGGGAGCTGGAGGCATCAGATCACTCCGTCTCTGGAGCTGTTTTCAGTCGAATTAGTGTGAAGGAACACTGCACCCACAACCAAAACCACTCGAGTACAAACTAGTGTGGACAGGGTCTTAGTCAAATTCTTCACACAGTCTGTGTAACTTTTTAGGGATATCACACACTGCAACTTTTTTTTTTTTTCTTTTTACTTAATTAAAAATGTTTTAGTGACTGAAAAACACCTGTCAGTGCTGTCCCCTTGCCGCAGACCTGACCTGTATCTTCGTCTGGTGGGGTCACCTGCTTGTCGCCATGGAGATACACACGCTTAATGCCACACTGTAACATCCCAGAGCTAATGTAGTATTTAAAAATGTGACATGATTCTCCACACAGTCTGACTTATTTGTGGGTGTAGCTATATTTGACTTATTTGTAGCCCAGTATCATCTGCAGCAGCACTTCCTGTCTGCGCGCTCTCACTTCCTGTCACCGAAGTGCTCACACTTGTTACGAAAAAGTTTCAGTTTCAGGTTTAAATCAGTCACACCTTAAAAGTTCATGTGACTCAGATGTTCCACTGAGGTGAAGACAGCACAGAACTGTACTCCAGTTTCACTGCAGTGTTCACATGCACACACTATATTTACATACACACACTTTATACACATACACACACTTTAGTCACATACACACACTTTATACACGTTCACACACTTTATTTCACACACTTTATTCACACACACTTTATACACGTTTTACACATACACACACACACACACACTTTATTCACATGTACACACTTTATTCACATACACACACTTTATTCACATATACACACTTTATTCAAATACACACACTGTAGGAATCACATACAGTATTTTTAATTATTCACAATCTAGAATGACCAAACAGAACAACACTGTTAGACACACACACGCACATGCACACACACACACACACACACACACACACACACGCACACACACACACAAACACCACTTTCATACTAGGCAATATGGGTGAAGTGTCTTGCCTAAGGAAACAATGACAGTTTTTGTCACTGGCGCCTCTCTGTGGCACCTGGAATTCCCAGTGTCTCCATCCAAGTCCTGACCAGGTCCAGACCTGCTGAGCCTCTGAGATCTGACAGGATCAGGTCTGACGAGCTGGTGTGATCACTGTGTTTATGTTCTATTCATCAAACGGTCTATATACGCAAAATGGACTCTCAAGAGATTTAAGTCATGTTCTACTGTTAGAGGTGGGACCAAGTCTTTGTTTTGTAAGTCTCAAGTAAGTCTCAAGTCTTTGACCTCAAGTCTGAGTCAAGTCCCAAGTCAGATACAGGCAAGTCCAAGTCGGGTCTCGAGTCACTGGCCCATAACTCCAAGTCAAGTCCAAGTCATCTGCTTTGAGCTTCAATTTCAATTCAATTTCATTTCAAGTCTTTAAACCAAACTTAGATTTTTGCAATTTATATGAATTTTTAACTAAATTGTACTTGGCCGTGGTATTTTTATATATGAGTATTTATATAAGAGTTGTAGAAATGAAAATTTTTATAATGCCTTGACAAGATCTTAGTGTGCATCATTACAGTCAGAATAGAAAGAATTTAGATTTAAAAGAGCTAAATAACGGTTATTTTGTCACATAATCTGCACTGTAATGGAATGATCATGTTCTCTGTACTTCCCTCTTTTACTGTATAGTATACCACAGTACTTCATTTTCATCCAAAGTACCAAACAGAAGTGGGAGGGACATGTTCCAGTTTGTTTCTGTAAAATTCAGCACTGCATTTATCAACTGAATAGAGAAAAGTATCTTCTAAAAACACAGATTTTTTAATGAGAAGCATTAAGTCAAGTCACCACTGTTGGGCAAGTTACTTTGAAACTGTAATGCGTTATTTATTACCTATTACTGTCATTTCAAAGTAATTCGTTACATTACAATATTACTGCATTTAAAATGTAAGGCATTACATTACTATTGCATTACTTTAAGTTACTCTCACCAAAATAACTTTTGCGCTGTATATGGACTGAACCAGGACTAAACCAGGTCTAAACCAGGACTAAACCAGAGCTGAACCAGGACTAAACCAGAAGTGAACTAGGACTAAACTAGAACTGAACTAGGACTAAAACAGGACTCACTGTCGGGACGGGCTCGAAGGTGACGCAGGAGAAAGGAGCAGCTCTGCTCCGCACCTCACGGAGGTAAGAGCGGCTGTCGTCCGATCGCTCTTTATGGACCCTGCTGCTCGGGCTCGCGGCCCTGATTTCAGCAACTATTTGCAGGTACCCGAGCCGGTGCAAGACTCTGTTACAGCGCGTAACTTCTACCTTCCTTCAGCGTGTCCAGAAGTCCAACTTTTTGTGTGATGGTTTGCATCTTCCTCTGCCATTTGGGTGCGAGCGCAGGAGCCTTTGTCGGTGCAGAACGTTTCGTCGACGTTGTGGGTTTCGTCGGGGAGAAAACTTGTAACCGTACAGCATTTCAGAATCACACTGATACAGATTGAACATGTATTTAAATTTGGCAGCTGAACACATTCTGTACTGTACTGTACAGGAGACAGGAGTCCCTTAACCAGTCAGGACGCAGCGGGAGGAACGCAATACGCATTCATACAATGTAAAAAAAAAAAAAAAAAACAGGGCATGCAAAATTGCACACAAAAAAATTATAATAAAAAATCTGCGAGACCGCGAAAAGTGAACTGCGATAGAGGGAAGGACGAGTGTAAACCAGGTCTAAACCAGAACTGACCCAGGTCTAAACCAGGTCTAAACCAGAACTGACCCAGGTCTAAACCAGGTCTAAACAGCGTGGAGTTCTTTGTCAGTCCTTTCGCCCGCGGTTACCTGAAGGTCTATGAGGGCGCATCTCCGGCGTTTCACCGCTGCTGATATCGTTGTGATTTAAGCAAATTTGTATGAAGAAAAACCCACCACTTCAATCCAGGTTAAAAAAAAAAACACTGTAACGTGTGTTACTCACATTTGTACCGAGTAAAATATTACTATTTTTTCCCCTGTAATGCCTTACATTACTGCGTTACAGCAAAAAGTAATGCATTACTGTAATTCGTTACTTTTATAACGCGTTACTCCCAACACTGCAAGTCACAGGCCTCAAGTCCGAGTCAAGATCCAAGTTATTGATCTTCAAGTCCAAGTTGAGTCCCAAGTCTTAGTCCATTTTATCAAGTCAAGTCTCAAGTC